ATATCCGGGCTTCTCTGAATGAGTGTTGATACCGCGTTTAACAGAATTCCAATGTGCACTAGTAATAATTCGTGTTCTAACATTTTCACATTCATATTTTGTCTACTACGCAGTATTTGTCATGTTAAAGTCGTGTTCACATCTATGCATCTGAAACTCGTCGTGCTGATTTTAGACCTGCGTGATATGAATTCGACTTTCAGTTATAATACTTTCCCACCTAACGACGACTCAATGACTCAAAATAAATGTTGCACAGAAATTGTATCTGACGCTGCCACCGAGGATTGCAATGTTTTGGACGTGTTTGTATGCTCTTTTGCAAAACTCCTAACATTTAGAGGCCTAAACAACCCAGACAACTTGATCACTAAAAAACGAAGCGTAAACACGCAAAAGTAGATTCAGGACAGCGACGGGAAGAAACACACGTTATGCGCACGAATGGGCATTTTTTTGCTTAGAATAACTTCCTTGAAGCCACGATGCTGGAACATAAACTACGTTTGGAAGCATGCCAAATAATAACGTAGGATCGCCTTGTTTTGAAAACAAAAATAAAAATGACCGCTCTCGTTGTCACATTTCGCCAACTAGGTATATATATATATTCATTGCACAACTCATATTTTAAGTTATATATCCATTTTGATCCATTAGAAACAATAACGGGGCTATAGAAACATTTAAAAAAAGTAACTGGCAAGTTGTCACATTAGCGTGAACACTAAATCGCTGAAAGTCGATATCCAGTTTCTCAGGAGCGCGCTAAAGACAAAACGGGTTTATATTTGTGCAATACAACATATAATATAACTTACTTCTCAGATGCTGCTCTTACAAGGAATAATTGTTAACAGGCGATAGACTCTGTGCATTCCCTGTACGCTATTTTGATTCACATTGTCCACTTTGGACCCCGTTGAAGTTGGAACTCGGCACCAGGGAATTGGAATTTAGGAGGGAGTGTTTTCCACACTACCGTAATGATTATAATTGTAGTTCCTTTAAAAAAAACCTCTCCCTTAATGCGATCTCACTCTTTACTGTGCACTTGAAAGCTACTCGAAGCTTTGAAACTAAGGGGGGAAAAAAATCACAAAAATACGAAATACTGTAACTCACCTGCGACGACACTGAGGATGTTAATTGTGATCCCTGCAGTGGTATTTAGTCCGCTTCATTCCCTCTGTAATAAAGCCACAATGATGGCGTGTATTTAAAAAAAAAACATCCCGGAGAAATTTCGGATGTACATTTTATTGCAAAAGAGAAATGAAGAATAATGACAGGTGAAAAATAGCCGGACAGGTATTTACTGTCTAGACCCCGGACACTTCATGTTAAACTCATGGGTGTCTGCTGCCGCCTGGAGGTTGCGGATATAAGGGAACTGAATTAAACCAACAGAGTTTAGTTTGGACTATGTTGAAGAGGCTGGCGTACTAAGAATGAATAGAAGCTTCCTTCACCCATCCATCCATTTTCAATCCGCTTATCCTGGTAATTCTCGTGGCGTACGGAAATTAAAGAAAAATGTTTTTTTTTTAAATAAATCAATCAGTATATGTTACGTACAATATCGATTAATATATTCCAAAGGCTTTTACCTGACGTTTCAAATTGATAAATATGGATTAAAAATAATTGCGCAAAACCTAGTAAAACTGTGCCGGTGTCTGTCGAAATAGTGTCTGTTCGCAGTCAGTCCATCTGAGCTCTAAATTCCCAAAGCTAATTGTTGACTTGTTCCAGCTGCTTCTCTAGATCTGTCTTCACCCAGTTTCTTGGTTTCCAGAAATATCCCACTTCTAGGGTACTGTTTCCAGCAAAGTCACCCACAGAACTCGTACTGGGCAGCCTGTCCTCTACTTGCTTGCCACGCTAAACAGCTCTTTCTAGTGGGCCAGTGGTGCCGGACACTCACGGGTGGGAATGATGCGGGACCAGATACTCCAACCGCTTGGAGCGTTGAATAGCCTGACGTCCATTATTCTCACCGGGTCGTCTTGGTGAGCCAGGAGAGGCCGTCTACCTGCTTCAGAAAACTGGAGGAAATACAAAAGTACTAGACATCTGTTCTCTACAGGCAGGAGAAAGTCAATTCAATGTTGTTACAACTGACTTTTTCCCCCCACGTGAAGCACTACCTGTTTTTTTTTCAGTAGAAATGCGACAAGAGCACTGACTCGCACTGCATTCGAGAGTGCTAACAGCTATTCGGGGATCGCATTTCCACAGGTTCTTTATCTTAAACACTGCGCTGTTTTATCAAGTGTAGCTGAAATACTGTAGGTCTGTGATCTTAAAGATGAAAGTGAAGAACAGCTTTCGAATAAGACAAGTAATTCAGTAAATCAAATTCTCCCTTATCATCGCTAGTGTCCGAAGTTCTCCTGCTGGCTTTACGATCAGATATTCTTGATATGTACTCAATTTTAGTGTTTTTTTTATCGTAAAAAATGTGAGATACTTAAACCTTGCAAATATGACTGTTGCCGCAAGAGCGCGCCACCGACTCTAAAGACTGCCTCCCAAGATAAAACAAAAATATTGCCGCGATTCCATTAAGAATTCGGGGTAAAAAAAAGACTGGGAATTCACGGTGTTAAAATAGTGGCTAGGGTCTTTATTAGTTGCCCTGGACTCTGCAGAGTGAGGTGACTGAAAAGCGTAGAATCGACTGCAGATTCTAAGAACTAGGAAGAGAAGGAGATCCTTAGGTTACACAGATAATAACAATTCCTTTCACTTATATAGTTATTTTCTGGACTCTCCACTCAAAGTGCTTCACAGGTAATGGGGACTCCCCTCCACCACCACCAATGTGCAGCCCCCACCTGGATGATGCGACAGCAGCCATAGTGTCCCAGTACGCTCCCCACACACCAGCTCTCAGTGGGGAGGAGAACAGAGTGATGAAGCCAGTTCAGAGATGGAGATTGTTAGTGGTCATGATTTTTAAAGGCCAGGGGGTACTTTGGTCAGGATACTGGGGTAATACCCAGATGTTCGCTTTTCTGCCCCTCTAACCTTTCAGCCGGAGAAAAGTGTATCTGCTTTCCCTGGTATAAAGCTGGGAAGACTATCTGGTATAAAGCTGGGAAGAATATCTGATTTTGTCAGGACTACAGCTTCAGACGAAGGCAATACTGTACAGTATGTCGCTGGCAGACTGATAGGGTAGGACTGTTGGATTAGACGAAAGCTATCCGATAGGATTTTTTCCAACAATTGTACGTGATAAGAAAGGAGCTGCTACGCTATGATCTATATACAGACAGTTGTGACTAAAAAGTTCAAAGCTTGTAGGAATGTTTTTTATGGTCGAAACCGATTGAATGAACCTCTTTGAAGTTAGAGAGAGTTAGAAAGACCGCAAGATACCAATCAATGCTTATCTTTGCTCAACAGGAGATTGTGACGATTTCGGCTGTGTTCACGTTTCTTTGCTGTGGACTTTGCTTAGTTCCAAACAATAAAACCATGTAGCACGTCAGAAAAATGCAGCAAAAATGACCGAAACAACTGAACCAATTTGCTCCCCCTCACCCTGTGTGTGGCAGGGGTTATTGCTGTGAACAGTACCGTAAACACACAAGTGATATTTTTGTTTTAGATTAGGTGGGTGAGATATATTTGGTGATTTTAGTTTTTTGAAGTATCCCCCGTCGGCTTTTTCCCATGTTACTTGTAATGTGCTTCAATATTGGCGTTGTAGGATAATTCTTTTTTTTTTAAAAGTTTATAAACACCATAGTTACTTTGGCAAACTTCGAAAGCTCACCCGCTATAAGATGCGACTCTGCGTTCGTATTGTCTAAATAACGGGTTTATTTTGTAAACGATATGAGGATAAGGAACACTTCACTGAGCTTGTTAGTTCACATATCTGCTTTATCCAGTCCCTACGTATCAGCTCCTAGTTTTTACCATTACCTTATGATTATATTGCCTATTGTAATGTCAAGCCCCAGGATAAATGTTACAATTATATTAAGCCCACGGTACTCCGTACAGCACACTGTGTAATATCACGGTCTGTCAGAATAGCGAGAAATTAAAGCACGCCGGGCCGTCTGTAGTAACAGCAAGATGGCCGCTAGAAGCCACTGTTGCCTTACGGAAAAAGGAGAAGATGCCATACAGCGTACAAGATCTTGTTTTCTTAAAACGGTTTCAGGGTTACATGAACTGAACTTGGGTACTTCGGGACAATGGCTGGAGACCTCCGTTATCAATGTAGGAATTAGTCAGATGACTATTTTCACTATCTCAATTTTTCATTTTTATCCGTCGTGTTCTTTTCTCATTTGGTATCTAGAGGCGCCCTATTGTAAATTAATCACATCTTGTCTGTAAAAATGTTATGTTACGTACATTTACAGCAGTGGTGCTCTTCTTTTTATTCTAATTGCATCCTAAATTAGTGTCTCTCTGTTCAAGGGGGAACCGCAACGCTATTGTTTTATATTTCGGGGTTAGAAAAATTCAGCATTGATGAGTGCATTACACAGTAATTGTAAAACCTCCAGTTTACATCACGAAATAGATTTCCAGGTATGCACAGCACCATATTGCCGTCATTTTCTGCGATTCAGAACGAGACAACAAAACTTCAGGTAAAGTGAAGCGGCTTGCGAATACATCTCTTTTAATCCAATAGAAATATTTGAAAGATTTGGGATTTTGAGATGGTTTGGCTGATAAATGGAACTTACTTGTTAACTCTGTATGCACGTTGGAAACGTTCTGCGGTGAAATGTCTGCTGCACCGCCTGTACTTATTCGGTCGTACATCACATTACATTAGTCACTACAGTGACTAGTGAGCAGTTAGGGCCACATCACGTCACAATTCATGGCAAAACCAGGGGTTTGCGACAACATACAAAAAAGTCAACAAAGTGTATTTTTTTTCTTTACATCAATGAATTTATTTTATTAATGAGATTAAATAATCGGTCTGAGAAACTGTCACTGCAGTTCCCCTTAAGAGCTTGGTGTAGACACCCAGGAGGTTTTGGAACAGAACTAAATATTCTTTCTAAATCTTTTCATAAATATAATTTTCAGAACTGGATTGGAGTCTCAGTTGTTCCAAGTCATTTCTCAGTATTTTGACTGAGGCAGAGCACAGATCATGATTACAATGGTGCCCTGAATTGATTTAAATATATGGATTAGATATGACTACTACTGAAGCAGCATACTTTGCATATGGATTTTGAACACAGCTGTCTTTCTTTACCACAGCTTCAAATTATGACCCAAGTCCTTAATAGCTGTTTGTGTGTGATGCAGTTCAGAAGAGTTTTCCTTTGAAGGGTCATCTACCTGATGAGACTGGACACTACTTGCAATGAAAGAAGCAAAAACACATGTGATCCGTGGTGATGTGTACTTTGACACACTGTCATGTTGCCTTTAGCCAGTAGGCATATCACCCTGCAACTCACAACTGGCAAACCACTGAAGCTCAGCATGTGTGAGCCTGGTCAGTACCTGGATGAGAGACCTCCTGAGAAAAACTAAGGTTGCTGCTGGAAGAGGTGTTAGTGGGGCCAGCAGGGGGCCACCCCGCAGTCAATTTGGGTCCCAATGCCCCAGTATAGTGACGGGGACACTATACTGTAAAATAGGCGATGTCCTTCGGATGAGATATAAAACAGAGGTCCTGACTCTCTGTGGTCATTAAAAATCTCAGGGCGTTTCTCGAAAAGAGTAGGTGTAACCCTGGCGTCCTGGCCAAATTTCCCATCAATCAATTATCAATGTCAATTGCAAATGTCAGATTCAGGTTTGGCATTAAAAAAAGTCAAAGATCAAATGGCAGCAGCAACTACAAGGAGTCACCCAAGCTTCAGTATTATGTGTCTGGGTCCTTTGTTTACTGAGTTAATTAAGAAAACCATGTGTGTATTTTAACACGTACACTGATCATGGCGAAACACAAGAAGTGACTTCACAGGTTCGTTAAAGAAGAGTACTCTGAGGAGGATGGCAATTTATGAGTCACAGGTGTGAAACTGTGCCTGCCGATTAGGTAGAGCATGAGGAAACTGTTGAATTACTGGCCCGAATTCAAAAGGAATGATCTCGTTTGGGCAGGTAGCTTTTAATAAACAGATGTCAGAGGATTACCTGGGCCATTGTCATACACTGAGACACCACATGCTTTCACCCAAAACAAATGCCTTTTTGTTTTTGTTTTGGCCTTTACCTCCAAGCTACAGACTTCACTCTGTGCTGCCCTCATCACTACCAACAAATATAATCATTCTTTTCATTACACATCAGGCAACAAAGCTTTGTCTTATCAACCAGAGTATGACTCAACAGGCTGAAAATCCTAAGCTTTATAAAGGATAGTTTCATAAATTGAAAGATGAACCTACAAGAAGCAGTGTAGAAATGAGCTATTTTCTTAAAATGAAGTATTTTCACAGATAGATTTTAAATTCTAACTTCCAGTAGTGTATATTTGCTTGTTTGAAGGTAAGTATCAGCCTGCCCCAACATTGGCCTTATGCTTGGTCACAGTCCCCTCCGGGACTGTCGGTGGAATGGTCCTCCCCTTGTGGGGGTCCCCTCGTCCCTCCGGGAGCTGTTCAGTGTGTCTTGAAGAGCCCCCCATAGCTGCGGCTTGTCATTAATTAGCCAAAACAGCTGTGGTAAGGAAGGCAACGTGCCGATCTTAATCCAGGGCTCCACGTCCACCCTGAACACATCCCTGCGTAATGCCACAATTGAAATATTCCTTGTTATCAAGGCAAAATTGTTTTTAGATTTTTCAATAAGTGATAAGTTCGTGAATAGGACTTTATTTTCTATTTGGAAGAGAAGAGACCAGAAGAAATTGTTTACATAGAAGAACCTTAAGGGGTTTTACTGAAAAAAAAAGAGTGTAAAGCAAGTATCAAACTAAATTAACTTGGGACTTTAGTTAACATTTTTTCATGTTTTCTTCATATCAAACTATATTAAGAAT